AAAGTCACTTGCAAAGCTGCTCTTAGCATTTCAGTGGGATCATATTCATCCTTTGATTGCCAGAAACTCCTTTACATGGGCTACTTCACTTTGTGCATCCTTTTAGATACGTAAACTGCCCTTAATATTTACTGTTGCTGTTAATATGTTGCTGTAGTATGTCTTCTCTGAGGATGTCAGTGGACCTCACAAAACATGAGATCCCACAGCATGTCTGTGGCAGTACTAAGTACCATAGGTTTCATAACATAGCTGAGGGCAAACCCATAAGACCTACTAAGAATCACATGAGAAAATATTGCCATTGGGTCATCAGTAAATAGGAGGTGCGGGCTGGATTAAGGACTCCAGTCCAGATAGTCCAGAGACTTGTCTTTTCCTCCAAAGTATGGGCTGTTGACAAATGTAAATGTTTTTTTGGGGGGAATAGCCTAAAAATAAGGGAGAAGCTACAGTGAAAATTACTGGTTGACTTCATCATGCAGCGTGAACATTTATAGATGAGGCGCTTAGGGACATGGTTTAGTGGGCATGGTGGTGTTGGGTTAACCGTTGGACTTGATGATCTTAGAGGTCTTTTCCAACCTTAATGATTCTATGATTCCATATCTTATTCAAAAATATTAATCTCATGTCCTGTATTTCTACAACATTTTAATCCATATCCTTTTATTAAGGAGCAGTCCCTTTGTGATAAACAGCAGTTGGTCTGCTTTGCAGTGAACTGTTTCTTAATGACAAAAAGCTGATCTGAACAGTTGCTCTGAATTCATGACACCAGTACCTTTATTTAAACATTTTAGAGGCATAAAAATGACAAGGTCAGTATGGCAGTTCTGTAAGGCTACTGCTTTTGATTGATCCTCTGAAAAGTTTCTCATGGCATGGTTGCAAACTGGAAGGTAAGCTATTTTCTTAAAAAGCTTTTCTTAGTTGCCAGGAAAGATGTCTTGTGAATCTGAAAGCTGAAGACCTCAAGTTCAGCTTAATATTTATAGAACTGGTTGCACACAGGCAGCGGTAGTATAGATCCCCCCATGCTCTGTCATTTTTGTGTGTCACAAATGGTCTTGAGGCATAGTTAAAAGCAGAAAGGGCAGACTTGTTCTTGACCCTTCTCTGGAGGTGACCAGAGACGTGGTGTATAGCAAAGAGGGCTATTGATGTGTGTGGTTGCCATTGTGGGTTGCCCAGACCAGACTGAAGACCATTTACAACTCACTGCCTGGTTGGGATTTAAGTGAGAGAGACATCAGTTTATTCCTGAATTTGTCTCCATGCAGTTTATCAGAAGACCACGTGGAAATACGTTATCCGAGGCAGATATATTTGCCTAAAAATCAGCTAACTATACAGAAAATGGAAAAGGTTATGTTTATATGTGCAGTTTTTCATCTGGTTTGAGGCTGAAATTATCAGACAGGGTTTTTAAAAGTGGCTGCCCAGCTTTTACAGGAGTGCTATGTATCTGTGCTTCTGATCAACGTGGGTAGCAGTTGCTGTATGCTTGTGGTGGATCAGGATGTTCTGGCCTTGTTTGGTCTAAGGAATGCAGACAGGGTTATGCTGTGCTTGGCAGTATCACACTGACAAAGCCGGAGCTGAACTCCCATGCTGTTGCTAATTTAACAGCAGGTGAACCCAAGAGCTGCATTAAAGCAGGTTACGTTACTATGCTCATGGTTTGCATTCCCTGGCCAAGTTATTGTTTGGAAACCGTGCCTGTTTTGTGTGGTATGTGTTAATAGTCATCTTGTGACCATGGAGAAAAACTGAGTAGAGCAAATCTTTAAGATTCCAAAATCAAGGCAAGTGTTCTGAACTCTGTGTCTTTATTTTTGTAGATCTGTCTCTCTTCAGGGAAATCACTTATTGGGCTTAGCAATGCTACAAGTGTTAGACTGAGGTAGGAGACTTTACTGAGATTATTGTAGTTCTGCATTCATTGCTGCTGTAGTAGCATAAACTTATCTTGAGAAAAGATAGAGCCAAAACAGAGGGACAACATGTTAGGAGGTGAAAAATGGAAAGACTTAATGAGCAATAGAAAACACAACACTATAAAAAGAAAAGAGAACTAAGAAGATGTGATAAAGTTACAAAGAAGAATCTGAGTAAGTCAAGTCCTGTCAGCCTTTTTATGATATTGAAGAATGAAAACAACTCTTGTAACAGTGAAGAGCAATATTTAAAACTGTCCTTAGAATATATATTAGTGCAATTCATCAGTTACTGCAAAATGCCATTGAGGACAAGGACACAGCAGGGTTCGGGATGGCTCCAACAGGCACAATAGGAGTTACTTGGACAACCAGAATTCTGGTCCCTATAATCCAATCTTTTCATTGCAGTGGTCAGCCAAGAAGAAGGTAGATTAAAAACCCAATTTTAATTTCACATTACAATGGTTTTAGGATGTCTTTTGTAGCATGCACTTGGTTAGTTTTTGTCTGCCAAGAAGGCTGTGCAGTTCACTGCTCAGTCAAGGAAAATGTGCATAGAATACTGTCCTTAACTAATATAAAGAAGTCTGTCTTTGAAACAAAGATCTGTTTTCCAGTGAGAAGTTACGCAGACTGAAATATAGTGAATACTGCCCATGATAGTAGTATTTCATAGACTTGTGCCTAGTTGCATTGCAATTTGCCTTTTGTTGTTTTTTTAAATAGAGAATATTGTTCCAGTTATCTTTCTCTCGGTAGCTGTTTTTACAGTTCAGTACACTTGAGCAAACTGATGTAATTTTCCTCTGTAAGTGGCTTTTTCTGCCACAAACATTGGCAATTCATGCGTTTCGGGTGCAGGATGGGCTTTCATCTAATGCCCAGAACCAAGTCATGGGATTTTCTTGTGTGGATCAACTCAAGTTGTTTATTGTGTCCATCTTTCACTCCTCTGCTTGGAAGCAGCTAAGCTACATGAAACAGTAACTGTAGAATATTGAACATTTCTGGATGACTCAAAATAGAGGAAACAAAAGCTCTAAAGGACTAGTCACCTGGCCATTGTATCTCATGAAAATAAAGGTTTTATTAGAAAATGAATTGTTATATCAGGGACTGATGGTAAATCATGCTAGACAGCGGCATTTTGATACCCAGTCGTTGTTGCAATCTCAGCCAAAAGCCTCATCAGAGCCAGCTTTATTAAGATCTGTATGTTAAACAAATCAGGAGTGCTGCTTTGGGAAGGTGAAGTGGGGTTAGCCACGCACACAGTCTGAGAAAGATCTCTGCATCTGCCATTCCTCAGATTTTGTCAGTGCCCATAGAGCGGCTGATAGATTTTCACCTGGTTGCACGTGTTAATGTTGGCTTGTCAAAGCAGTTTGACATTCCTTGTTCCAGGCTTCCACTGAAGGGGTGATACTGGCTCAGTTAAGTATGTGTCATACAGCTTGTACTGAAATTCATGCTCTGTTTTTAAGCGGCTTTTTACTTGTGCAGATGGCAGTCATGTGTTGTCCAGGGCATATGCAGGGCACTGGGTAGACTCTAGTCCTTCCTTAATCATTTGTGAACTGACCATCCCACAGCCTAGCACCGTTATTTAGAGTTACAGGACACAATACGTAGTATTTGATTTTGTTTTTTCATGTTCCCCTGGACTTGCTTTGGCAAGGGGCCGAGAGAGCAATCTTTAGAATTGAGGGTAAAGGCTGATTGCCTTTATGGGTTTCTGGATGCCTTTTGGCACTGAGCCTCGAGACCACAGGGAGCGATGCTTTCCTTGCCCGCGATCTCTCCAGGCTGTGTGCAAAGCATGGAAAGCCAACTGTTCCAGGATGGACCATTGGGTAAACTTAGAGGGTTAAGCTCAGTTAGGACATCATGATACTTTCCCCAATATTTTCCCTTTAACCTCGGCTTCATTTGAAGAACATGGTTTAGTTGAACTGTGTCGTTATGTGGCTTCCTTTATTTTTGCTTTAAATTTGTTTAACTTTGTCTCATTTTTAAGAGTGGGGCATGCCAAAAAAGTGAAATTCTAGCTTAATTGGAATTAGCGTGGCCCACTGGGGATGAAAAAGAAACAAGTAGCCTTAGAGTTTGTCAGCACAGAAAAGGTTTTGATGGTATAGCAGCATGGGTAACTTGCTCCCTGAAAGCACAGCCTGTACCAGAGAAGTGTTTCAAGCAATATGAGTTAAATTGGTTTCTCTAATTAATTAAGTGTATTAAGAGGAGAAAGAACTGGGGTGGTGATGTAGCTTTATCTTTGTGAGCGTTTAGCTAGCACAGCTATGCTCTTCTGAAGGGTACGTTTAATTCTCTTCATTAACGTGATGTTGGTACTACTTTTAAGTGCTTATTAGAGTGTCCTCGCCAGATCAAATGTGCCTGCACATACAATTATTCAGGAATAGATTCAAGTCTGGGCCAATTTTAGTATGAATTAAAAGTGTATACAGGCCATGAGTTAACTGGGAACAGGGCAAAGAAAATCAAAACAAGCCGTTGGAGCAGTTTTTCCCCATATAATTAAATCAGTTAAATTGATACAGGAGACACAGGTACAACCTTCCTAAGCATCTGAGACCTCCTGGCCTTTCTCATGTACTGAGCTACTCCCAGACTTTCTTTAAATCTCTTCTTTAAGGAGTATTCCTATGTTTAACTAACTGTGTGATCTAGTCCAGTTAAAGTCCTTCTTTTTAGGCCCTTAGTCAAGTATTTCTGACATTGTGCCCTATTTGAAGTGGACTGAAAACCCAATGAAGCGTCTCTGTCTTTGTTTTTAAAGTCCAGGTACTCTTACAGTAATACTTTATAAGTCCATGAGAGCAATACTTCGGTAAAGAGGAAGGTTTAGGTGGCTTTACAGCATTGCTTTGAAGCCACAGTGAGGTGAGATTCAGTGGATGAACGTTGGTTCCTTTCTCTTGTGCTGCATGTGAATATTAAAGCGGTTGATGTTTTGTGTAAGCAAAGACATGCAAATATATCCTGTCCTACTGGCTGATTTTTGTTTTTTGCTCTTACCGTTTAGATGACATTTTAGATGAGGCAACAAGGAAAGACCTTTTCACCGACACTTTCTGTAAGGTCTGCGGGGCAGTGCTGCAGTTTGAGTCTCAAAGGATGTCACACTATAAGGTAGGCTGGAAAGGAGAATTTCTCCTAGCAAGCACTGGGACTTTGGTTTGTTTGTTTGGGGTTTCTACATAGTGTTATAAAAGACCTTTTATAGTGTATTTCTCAAGGCTTATGCTAGTGTTAGACGTTAACCAGACTTGAATGTGAAAGTTGTGGGTTCAGTATAGTGAACGGCAATCACCTGCATATTGCAGCATGATTTTAGGAGGAACTGAGCAGGTTCAGGCCATGCTGTGTATGGGATTGAAGCAGATCTGCACCACGTGAGCCAGGACATAGTATGGCACGGGACAGTGCTAGCTATAGAGGATTGAGGTCATGCCTTCTGATGCTTCACCCAGCGATACATATGCTCTGTGCACCAGTGTTTGCTTGAGGCAGGTTGTATGAATCATGTTGAAGGCATTTCTTGGAATAACTGTGTGCCTTGGGATATTGCTGTAGAGGCAGGAAAGCGTGCTTTATTTTGAAACTTGATCTTGAGGGTATGCAGGTTTGCAGGCACAGACATTTCTGTCTTTCTCTTTCTTTTTGCAAAAGTTAAAGTTTAAAATGTCAATTGCTGTCAGGAGTCTTTCTTGCTATTCACATTATGAAGACTCAGGTCTTGCAAGGTGTTGTACTTTGATTTAAATTAAGCAGCAGTTGTACTGTCAGAACTTCACGGAGTTCAGACCCTCAGTCTGATTTTCTGTTTCTCGGATCAAAATCCAGTTGGGGATAATAGATGCAATTGTAAAGTTACCTGACTTCACCATTACAAAATGAATTGATGGAAATAACTGACTCTTCTCAGTTGTGCTTGTATTGTCTAGCCAGGTATGATAGGTACTCTTTCTCTTTGATAATACTGTTACAATACCCTGCACTGCTCCTCAGAATCCTTAAAAGACATCTGAAAAGCATCAGGTCAGACAAGACAAATTACTTGTTTTGCTTTGTAGGTTACCACTGTGTAGTGTGGCATGTGGGTAAGTACATTACAAGTGCAAGAGTTTGAAGGTTATGAGTTCAGAGAGCATCTAAGAATTAAAAAATAATTGCAGCTGAGGGAAGTATACATTAACAGCCAATTTTAGGTACCTGGACTATTGTATCCTCAGTAGAAAGATGTAGAAATCTCCATAGACTGACTCCAAGCTGGAGATACTTCCACTCAGCTTCCAGGGAAACCTGTTTCTCTCTACTGACTGTAAGGGGAGACCAGACTTTTTATTTAGGTAAGTTAGGTCCTGCTGCCTGTTATTCTTCTGTGCCACGATACAGGACAGCCTTGATGTCAAGCCCCCAGGCTTAGTGGTAAAGGAGCACAGCAGGCTTGCTCTGTGGCATGGCTGGATTCCTTTCCTTACCTATTTTAGCGTCCCTGTTTGTAAGGAGGCATGTCAGGATTTTTGGTTCTCCAAAGAGTTGAGAGTAGATGACTCCGAGGGCTGCTTGAGGCAGAATGTTATGAGTAATGCTAAGTACTATATTATTCATTAAAGTATAGTATTGTTACATGAGCTGGCATTTGTCCGCTTGTGGCTCTGCTTTATACAAATACAACTTGGCAAGTGTTGAAAGCAGGTTTTGATGAATGAAGTCCCAGTCACTGGATATATCACTGCTTGGATCCTTGTTACTGAAACAGGAATAATTCTAGTCTCTTCCCAGGGCAAAAAGCATGCACAGAAAGTTCGTCTTTACATCCAAATGCATAGTGAGAAAGATGAGAGGCAGGAGCATGGCAAACAGAAGAAAACGGATTGTATCAATTTTCAGGTGACTATTCCTCTTCATCGCTAAATAAAATGTTCCCTTGTATACTTCAGTGAATGCTTGTAACTGAGCTTGCCCTTGCCTGGTTTCAGGTGGATGGGAGTGGAGTGCTGGACAAAAACAAATACTGCAATCTCTGCAACGTGATTTTTACTTCTCCAGTTGTTGCTTTGTCTCACTACTTGGGAAAGATCCATGCTAAAAAGCTAAAGCAATTATCAGGAGACCAAACCCACATGCCAGCACAGAGCATGCAGCCTGTTTCTGGTAAGAACTAAATAGTTTGCTTTGCATGTGATTTCCTGTCAGTCTCTGAAACAAATGCAAACTGATACGAAGAATTATCTTCCCACACTTGCCATGTCTCTATGCCTTTCTATTCTGCCAAAGTTGTGGAACTGTCTTGTGGTAACTCCCTGGGTGAATAAACAAAGATACTACCCTGTGCAACTCTGAAGCCATGGAACCTTGCTTTCAAATTCCCTGTCTTTCATTGACTGAAACTAAAGGCAAATGTTTCTGTTTTTTTATTAATGAAAGGTGTTTATTGTTGTTCCAAGAATTCACTGCAGTCCCAACAAGATGTTCCTCTGATAAATTAAAAAACCGTGAGCAACACTTAACTGATATTAGTCCTGCATAAGTTGCTGAACTGTATTTAAAGATGGAGCATATTGTATGTGCTCTGAATCACCCTCTGGAGGGTACATCTCTCTTCTTGGACTGTATAAGGACCTTAGAGTGACCAGCCATCAAAGACAGCTGATTTTTAGGTATCTAATGGTGGGGTCTATGAATATTCCAGGGTTGTGTTCCTTGTCAGTCTGTACTTTCATATCCTTGCAAGGATTAAGGTATTCTATAGTCTCTTGAAAGTAGTTCAGACCCAGTTCTCCTTTCCAGCTCTGTAGTTCTGCAGTCTGTTTTGCTCGATGGAATTGTTTTAGCCTTTCCTTTGCTGTGCTGTCAGCAAATTTATCCTCTGCTCCCATGTCTCCAGCTTTGCAGAAGCCATCAGCTGAGAAGCCCTTGCCGCCTTCAAATGCTGAAGAGTCTTCGTCATCCTCCAATGCAAGGTTGAAGTTAAATGATCCAGACAAGTACTGCAAGCTCTGCTGTGCTCCCTTCAATAATCCACTTGTGGCCCAGCAGCATTATGTTGGTAAGAAACACAGAAGAAATGAAGCACGGAAAAAGATATTGGAGGAGCTGGGAGACAAAGCTGTCCCTGCAGAATCCAGCACAAATGGTAAGCAGAACATGAGCAAGTGTTACAGTCTCTGAGTGTAGCTCAAGTTCATTTCTTCCTTTCTGTTTCGTCTATGAACTGCTGAAGTTCTGTCTCTGACAGCTGTAGGTTGGAAAATATTTCTTTCTGACTTGGAGACCCAAATCCAGTCCCCACTGAGTTCTGCAGTCAAATTCAAAGGATCATAGAAAATAGCCCAGTCCCGTAAATCCAAGGCCAGGATCAGTTGTATCTGTGTCATTCTTAAGACGTTCATCCACCTTGTTCTTAAAAACCATCTGTGCTCGAAACTCCACAACCCATAACGAACTTCTCCCAGGACTTCTTGATCTTTACCTTCTCGATCTTAAAACCTTCCACTGACGTTGAACTCAGCTCTCTCTGAGGACAATGAATTTCTTCACTGTGCGCAGTACAAGAAGCAGACAGAAGAATTGAATCATTTGTTTCTTCTTGTTGCATTCTTTAAATAATTGAAAACTGGTGTCATGTCTTCCCTTAATCTTTTATTTGTGAAACTGGTTGTCATAATTATTTCAGTCTTTGCACATAAGGACATTTGTTTCCTAAACAGTCATTGTTCTCCCATCAGGACTGTCTCCAGCTCAAGCACTGTGTCCAAAGCCAAGGCCCTGTTGCTGTGCAACTTCCATTAATTTTGAGGGGGCATAATCTCGTCCTGTGCAACAGAACTATCAATCCTTTCTTTAGTAGGGAGTTCAAAATCCTACCTGATAGTCAAAAGTCATTGTTAGTATAAAACAGCTCTCATTAAGTCATGCTATAATTCAAGCGAAGTAATATATTTTGATGCAAAGCAGTAGCCCATTGGAATTAATGCTGCGTTTTGCTAATGGATGAAGCTCTTGGGTTTGCATGGGGAAAAAGGTTACTCACTGGTTTCAGAATAGTTAGGTGTATGGATGACACAGCTTGTAGGAGAGGAGAAAATGACAACGTAGAAAACACAAGGGTTTTCCTCGTCTGACCTTACCTTATCTTTGCTTGAGGCTCTGTGTACCGTTTTCATAATGTACTGTATCAACAATTCCCTCAGCATCTTTGTAGGGTTGAACCAATGCTGCATGAACATTTGAGCAGGTAATGTTTAAACTGATCTTATTTTAATTAAATCTGGACTGTCTGGATTGATATCTGTTGGTGCTTGCTTTGGGTCAGGTATTTACAATAGTATTTAATTTTTCAGTACAGTTCATTCTCATCAACAATTGACAACAGTTTGCTGGAATTACCTTGGATCACTTCAGTCATCGGAAATACTCTTTGTTAATGTTTAAACCATGGTTGCACTGCAACTGTACACCTCGCAGCTCCCTTCATAAATACTATTCCAGTGTAAAATTGCAGCAGAGACTTTATATGTGTCTATAAACATTGTTTATGGGAACATTATGTTAGGACTCTTGCATGAGATGAGATCATGATGTGCTTTGAGTTTTGCCTTTCATTTGTAGTCTCTCTAACCTATCGGTTCCTTCTTTTCAGCAGTTGGGGTTGGTTATTACATGTGCCCCGTGTGTAACGTCATACTTACATCTATAGAAACTTACCAGTCCCACGTGCAAGGAAATAAGCACCGGATTAAGTAAGTCAATAAGTCTTTTGTTACTATTCCTCTATAGTTCGTATTTTCAAACTTTTTCATTAGGCCTGTTGTCTGCTGTTAAGTGACTCTGACTAGTTCTGGGCTTTTTGTTTTGATTTGGGGTTTTTTTGGTTGTTTGGTTTACTGGTTTGAAGGGGCACTGTCCATTTAAAGATCGTACTTGTGACTGAAATTCAGTCTTAGAGTTCCCACAGTTGCATCTTCAGTGACAACCCACAGGGAAACCTGTACAATTTTCCCACTTATTTTGCTGTCTGGGGATAGCCGCACCTGTTTTGGTACAGCATCTTCAGTGCTCAGTCTAGAAGGAAATGGTCAGAACTTAAAGAATTCTTGTTGACAGGGCAAAGAAGACCTTAATCCCGGAAAGTGCCAAGTCTCCATCAGTTGTGTTGCTTTCAGGATTCATCAACATGCATCTTACATTTGGTATAAGATAATTCATGGGAAAGATGATAGCTCTTGTACTTTCCCTTTTACCCAGAAGAGGGCTTGTAGACTGTGTTAATTGCAGAATGGATGTTGTGGTGATTTAAGATGTACTTTTTAGAGATTGCTGTGCAAGTAGGCTAAATATCAAAGTTGCTTACCTGTTAAGTATTTTGATAAGACCTGTTTTAAGTGAAGATGCAATAATAGTATAACCACAAGAGACTGATGTAGAACTGATATGATTTTAAATGTTTGTTTAGTCAACAGAATTAGATGGAACTGCTACAGGCCTATCTATAGTTTAAAAAAGTGAATGTATAAAGCTGGTGAATTAAGGCAGAACAAGATACATTTAAGGGATGGGTCTTCGGAGCTGCACTTTCCACAGGGGATATCTTTGTCATCTAAACACTTTATCTTCCAGCCTGAGGAAAGGAAGAGTAGAATATAAACTGATAGGTAGTTTTGCCTTGGGAGCACATTTATCTTGTTTGGGGTTTTTAGCAATCCAGGATGGTTGTTTCTGTTCTGTTTTGTTTCTGCTGTGGAGTCACACAGTTTGCCTGAAATTACTGTACTGCAACTGTTCAATAGAATGAATCTCATAAAGAAATTAGTAACTTTATTACGTGACAGTCAGTATATAATGTAATTGTTTCTTATCTGCAGCTAATTGGCAACCAGTTAATAAGAGAGAATCTCAAATTTTCTTTTTTAAAAAGTAGTTTTAAAAATGTATACAGTCATTTTAAAAGCATCTTACTCTTGCAGCACCCTAAGTCACAAGAAACTGATTTGGTCTTCATGAAGTTATTCCAGATTTTCAGTTTTCACAAAGAGTAGAAATCTGTTCCCTGTAACTTCCACTTTACAGATATGGTTTTGTGTGACAGGGTCCATGTAGTTACACAGAACGACACATTGAAATACGTTCTTTTTCTAACTCTAGAAATACAGCTTTTTTTTTTTTTTAATTCAAGAGATGCTAAGCAAATTGCTCGGTATTAATAACTAAGACTTTCTATCCAATTTATGCAGAGAAACAGTGCTTGTCAATCTCATGGAGAAATCAAAGAAAACATATGACTCCTTTCAAGACGAATTAACGGATTACATTCAAGTTCAGAAAGCTAGAGGTCTAGAGCCAAGAAGGTATTTAGGAAAAGCAGAAGAGGAAGAGTTTCAAGATAAAAACATTGATGGAGGAAGTGACCTTGGTGAGGTTATATCATCAAACTTAAAGTGCGAACAAGGCCAGCATTCCAGCCTTTTCTCAGAAACCCAGTCACCTACAAATACTGGAGAAAATAGATCGCCAAGGTGGCCATCAGCTTGTGAGCATGCACTAGAAAAGACAGCTAATTGTCACTATAGCAAGGCATACTGTAAAGAAGAGCAAGCATCTGAGGTGACCACCATCAGAGATAAGAGCTTCAGCCTATCGGCTGCAGAATCTGAAGACTGTTACAAACTTATGCTTGCTGAAACTTCTACCAGCTCCTACAGAAAAGAACAGAAATCTCAGATAAAATATTTTGAGGAGGAAAAATACATCAGTGAAGAGCTGAAGTATGAGAAAGAAGCCACAAAGCAGAAAAGAAAGGAAAATACTGAAGGTGCAGATTTTGGAAGAGAAAATCAGAAGCAAAAGAGAATTAAATTTGACATAGACTTGGTAAATGAGAAGAAATCGAGACCTTATAAAGACAAAAGACTTAAAGAAAACCCCATTGAGAAAGAGAGCAAAAAGCACAAAAAGGGTAAAAAGAAGCCACAGTCAGATGGCAAAAGAGAAGAGGAGCTACTTTGGGATGAATCTGTCTTGGGATATTGATGAAGGTTTTGCTTAGGTTTAAGAAGTTGATTTTGTTTGTAGGCTCACTTAACCATTTTGTACTATACTATGACTTTTTTTTTTTTACGCAAAAGTTTTTGTTCCAATGTGGAAGCAAGAAAAAGCCTGTCTTCTGAGACTTTTGGGCAGTAGGTAGGCATCAATTTTTAATCGTCTTACACATACAGCAGTCATTGCAGTGATGCGAGTTTGAAAGTCTGTAATCTCTTCTGGAATGTTCCACAAAATTCAGTAGCTTACAGAATACTGTTGGAATTTCACCAAAATGTATAGCTTCTTTCTAATATTAATGGTGCCTGTTATTGAGGTTTCTATTATTCTTCTAGGAAAGTACATAGTATCGTAAGATAAATAAGGGCACTACAGTGTTCCCAGCCATGTCTGTAACCGTTTCTCTGACAGATTTAAAAGGAAAATGTGAAAGGCTTTTGATTCCAGATCTTATTTGCTGTTGGGGTTTTTCTCGTTTGGTTTGGTTTCTTTGTCACCCAGTTCTGAGTGGAAAATGAGTCCATTAATACGCAAGTGGTTGTCAGATATACATTGTCTAGTAGATTTTTCTCATTGTAATCCTGATTTTTAGTTTAATTTAGGAAACACAGAAAAGGTGCAATATGCAAAATTAATTGCTAACATGAGGCTACTTTCTGCTTCATTCACTCAAAGTAGTGTACAGAAGGAATATTAGAATGAAGCTAGATTTGTGATCCAAACAATACCCTGAAAAATCAGTAACAGCGTTGTATTTCCATTTTAAATGTCATGTCACCAGACCTTCATTCACAATATGGATTTATGTTATTGTGGCATGAGCATTGATGTCCTACATATGTGCAATTAATTAAGAAAATTAGATTATGAGGTTCAAGCTCTTGTGTTGCTACCAGGACTCTCAGATGAGACCTTCAGTGAGCCATGGACACTGGAAATGCATCAGTCTCTACAGGGCCTGGGGCAGGCAGGCTGCCCAAGAGGAAAAGAGGAATTGCAATGTCTGCCTGCACTGTGCAGAGCTGGGGTTGTGTAGAGGATTTGAACCCTCTGTGATGTTTTACTAAAAGCTGCTGCGTTGAGTAAATACAGTTAGGTTCTGAAAAGTGATCATTTAAAAGCAATTTTTTAAGACACCATTTAGTATCACTCTTATTGCCTTCACGTTGCAAGAAAGCTTTTTCTGAGCCTTGATGTGGGATCTGAAAGCCATCACACTTGAGTTGCACCACTTAGACTGCACTTTCCACTGGGTTGGTCTGTTTGTAGAGGCACCTGTGCTGAGTTGCTGCTCTCGGTAAATCTGCCCAACTGAAACTTTATGTTGTGGGTTGCTGCGGTGTGGGATGGAGTAGAGACCAGGGCCCTCAAGCCTTGAATTCTGTCTGATTTGTCTTAGTTTTAGTTTTGCGGGTATAAGAAGTAGGTTGAAAAGCCCTGAAAATAAGGTAGTCTGCTTTATTTTTTAAGGATTTGTGTTTTGTGGTTGATTGCAATCTTGGCTTTAGATTTTTACTGCTGCTGATAAAGTTATAGTTAGCATCTGGTTAGCATCTGAGCTGTCAAGTAACTTAGCCCATCCTCTAACAGACAAGCTTAACTAGATACATGTACAACTAAACAAAGTTGAGCCAATAACAATTCATTGGTCAGGAGTCTCAGGAACGTGAACTCAGAGGTCTGTGGGGATTCAGCTTTAAGTTCAAAGTGTACATAGGGTCCTTGGTCTGGTCGCCTTTTCTAATCTCCCCTGGTCTTTGTTTCAGGCTGATAAAGCCTCTGCTTTCTTCAGTGGCTCTTCTTCCTCACTCAGGAATTACATGCCTTTCTGTGTCTTTCCAGGGACTGTTTCCCTGGCTTTCCTTAGCCCCTGCTCATCTAATGAGGGAGTCTCAAGTCACACATTAGTAACTGCTTTTCTCGTTATTTACTTGGGAAGCAAACGGATTCAATCATAACTTACTTATGCTAATTGTTGATGACAGTTGTGAGCTGTTGTAAGCTGCCAACTGCAGGCTGCTTGTAGTGTCCTACAGTGTAACTGGGGAGGTTTTTAAGCGCTCTCTCCTGTGTATACTCTTTGTTGTGAGAATAACGTGGGCAACACCGCAGCTTGTCTCCCATGTAAGACAAATCATTACTTTCTCTTCTCCCAGACACCTAGTTTAGCAAACCGTGGGGCACTGTAAGATCTCTTTGATATTTCTGCCACTCTGTCAAATAGGGCTGTACAAATATGGCTAGTGTCTTTCACAATTATTAGTAAGGAACCCTTGCTCCAATATGGTCACGTACACCTCCTTTCCTTAGGAGGTCAGTCTAAAAAAACAGTTAGACCACCAGCAGACGGAAAGGCCACGGTGTAGTACTCTGCTTGTACACAGGGAACAGACTAATTGAAGGGAAATAAGCACCAGTTTACTTGCTTTTGAAATAAGAGTTGCGCTCTTGGAAGTCAGGAGAAGGAGATTAACGGCTCTGAAAATATGGTAAAAGCATGAGTTGGCAGAACAGAGAGATGTTTTTGGTTTTTTCAGTGATCATTCCCAAATCTGTACTTGAACTCTATAGCCTGCTTGCCCACCCACTGGAAAGTGGTTGCACAAACCATGTAGAATAGCTCTGAACAAAGTTTCTTGGTATCAAACATGAAAGATAAGATCCCAAAAGAAGGGTTCTTGCCACATTTTGATTTAACAATGATTAATTTATGATGTAAATGCTGCGAATGAGACATAGCAGATTCTCATCTAGCAGAAGTGACTTACAGCTCTAATTTAGATAAGTGATATCCAATTTTCTAAGGTCATAAATAATGATTATTGTTCATGTGTTTCCTGATTGCCTTGTTCCTAGCCTTTTGCATTTTGTGCCAATAGTTATCTACATGCTAGACATTTTAAAATACTAGGCACAGAGATTGATGACTTTATTTACCCCTTACTGTAAATATGTCTTTCTTCACTTCTAGCAAGTAGCAAAGGAATCCACGCTGTCTGTAATGAAAGCTAATTCTGCTCATCTGTTCCTCTCAGTAAAACTACCAAAGCATTACAATTCTGATTAGAGAACAAATTAAATCACAGATCTTTCTGTCACATCTGAGGAGATAGACTTGCAGATCTGGAGACCCCTTGGAGTCAATGGTGTGTTATGCAGGTACGAGGGTTCCTCTGTGAAGGCCCAATAGCTCTAAACTTGATCTGTCTCCTCTTTCAGTAAACCTGTGTGCTGCTTGGCTTTGTGAAAGAGCTACTGTATATGAAAAAGGCAAGTTAAAACGTGTATATGTAGCTGAGGACAGAAACATGGTTAAAACTGCTGTTTAAAGCTGGGCATAAGTGAAGACTCCTGCATTTCAATTTTGGCTCTCTCCATGGTAAACCAGATCACCTGGATCAAGTATTGAATTCTTCCAAGGCCTCTTTTTTCATCTACAAATGGTGCAGAAAGGGACTGTGGCAGATTTATCCTGCCCATGACGTGTCCCTGAAGCAGACTGTTGCCACCAGTTTTCCCCCCTTTCTCCTGAAGATTACCGTCCCTGGGACATCCTTGTGTCCCTGCATCTGCTATTCTCATTCACAGGCAAACAGAGCAGCTTAAACTCTCCATAAGGGCAGCTGACATTAGAGGGAGGCAAGGCTGGAGCAGGAATAACAAGAAATGCCTGAAAGCATTGGAGTTGCTTGTTCAATGAACATGTAATAGAGCCTAGATGCTCACCTCTGAATGCAGCTGTCATGTTCAGTGTCCTATGAAGAGTGGCATGAATGTGGTGTTCTGCAAAATAATGTCACTTTTTTATAGTTTGTTTTTCTTTTTATGACTTTTTATACTTTGGTTTCATGAGTGGCTGCAGTATGTGAAAAATTTGTAGTGAGATCCTAGTGCGAGGTCTGTCTGAAAAAAGCCACAACTGAAACAGGACATCTCTTTCTGCGTCCTGTGAAGTGAGCAAAAAGTTGTTTTTGCGGTGTAAGGTTTTCATTTGAAATCTTGCGATAGAAGGGAGAACCACTGAAGTCGCCTTGCATGCCCTGAATTCAGGCTGTGGTTTCAGCGAGGCACACTGGGAACGCTAACACCTGGCAAGTTAACCCTAAAGTTGGCCTATGAGACATATCCTATGAGACAAGGATATGCTAACTTGTCCAAGCATGTTTCTGTAAAGATTGAGAGGCATTCAACTGAAATCGGTGTAAATCACCTGAATGCAATGCCTTGAGCTGCATCTCAAATTTACCATGTATCTGTGGAATCAGATTACAGTGTAAAACTGTTGTTTGAGCTAGTTAGAGGACTATTACAGTTTAATTAAGTTAAGGGTTTTTTTCAGCGTAGAGCTCTTGGCCAGCACTGCCATCCAACAACACGGAAGCTGAAAGTGTGCTTAATGGCGGTGTCTATCAGCCAGAACACCAACACGAAAGCACCAGGGTGAGGACTGGGAGATTTGGTTCTCTTTCCACAAGCTTCTCATGTGATTTACCACTGCCAGGAACGTGGTGCCAGATGAGTTCTTCCAGCTGCAGCTTTTTTAACCTTAACATGTTATAGCTTCTGGTTCTTCACATCCACTGGTGGAAATGACCTGAGGGAGGGGGTTACAGCCCTGTCAGATCTGCCGGTGTCTTTCCAGCTGTACCTGTTTCCTATCCCGCTTGTATTTTCAGAGTGAGGTGGTGAGCAGCTAGGCACAGTATCTTTTTAACCCCGACCAGCTCTGGCAGTTCTTGACTATACCCTTAAATGGGTGATGAATGCAGGTATCACAAAAATGGGTCACAAAAAATGAATAAATAGGAAACCTTAAATAGGTACAGTGCCATAAATCTTTCTGTGGGAAAGCTTTGGAAAAAGAGCAACAGTGTTCTTCATCTCCAAATAAGCTACTGTCCTTTATTTCAAAGAGCTTGATTTACAGTTGAAAGCAATGAAGTGCTATTTCAACCAGTTATTTCTGGCAGAGCAAAGGTTTAGCCATT